GGCTAACACATAAATGTGTTCCTCATAGCTGCTTCCTGTGTAAAGAAGTGAGAAAGACATATGTAGGGCCAGCCTCATAGCATAGTGTTTAAGTCCAGCATGCTCCACTTTGGCGGCCTCGGGGTCAGGGGTTCGGATCCCAGGCACAGACCTAACACCACTTGTGAAGCCATGCTGTGGCAGTGTCCCACCTACAAAATAGAGGAAGCTGGGCACAGATGTCAGCTCAGGGCTAATCTTCCTCAAGCCAAAAAGAAACCAGGAAGATTGGCGATGGATGTTAGCTTAGAGCAAATCTTCCTCACCAACAAAAAAAAAGGAGAGAGAGAGAGAGAGAGAAACATATGTAAACAGTCAATTATTAAATAATCTGAACATGCAAGAGTGTTGTGGAGAGACTGAGGAGAGAATGCTGACCCAGAGTGGCCAGGACGATGTCATGTTCTGAGAAGGGAGGTCCAGGGCTGGCCCGATGGCACAGCAGTTAAGTTCACACATTCTGCTTTATCAGCCCGGGGTTCGCAGGTTCGGATCCAGAGTGTGGACCTACGCACTGCTTGTCAAGCCATGCTGTGGTAGGCATCCCGCATATAAAGTAGAGGAAGATGGGCACAGATGTTAGCTCAGGGCCAGTCTTCCTCAAAAAAAAGAAAAGAAAAAAAGAAGGTAGGTCCACAGCAGGCTGAGAGGCTAGAGAGTCATGAGGCCTAGTGTGTGGGGTCTTGGATGCAGTGAGTGTGGGCTCTGCGGGGGGAGATAATAGGAAGCATTTGTGAGTGTCAAGCAGCACCATGTGGTCAGATTTATTTCTGAAGAGAGCTCTCTTGCTGCAGTATAGGGAATGGACTAAAGGATCGGTAGGGGGCAAAATGCAGACAACAGGGTGCGTCAGGAAGCTGGTGAGATAACCTAGAGGAGAGCTGTTTGGAGGCAGGAAGAATTCCTGAGGATGGAGAGAAGACAGACTCAAGACAGATTCAGGAAGTAAACGTGGCAGCCTGTGCTAATTATCGGCTGTCAGAAAGAGCTGTTGTCGAAGAAGAAAGCCACTTAGGATGACTCCCAGATTAATTCTAGTTTCAATGACTGGGTGGTGCCTGCAATTCACCCAAAGGAAGAATACAAGAGGAGGAGCAGGTTGGTAAATCAGCCAGTGACGGCTCCCGAATTCCTGCCCAGGAGAGGCTTGGGGCAGCGGGACTGGCGGATTTGTCTCGAAACTGTTTACAATAATGAACACTCTGTTGGTATGTCTGTTTAGATGGGATGGCATGGGTAAGATGAGTGGCTGACTATGGGGCTTAAAGTCCCCCCAGCATCCTGCGTTCAGCATTGGGCATTGTGTTCGTTGCGATTCTTAGGGTTGCAAGTGACAGAAACCAAGTTTAGACAAGCTCAGGGATCAAGGGGAACTTCATCAAACCAAGGAATAAAGAGGCGTGGAGCCTCGGGAACGACGAGCCCCAGGAGCCCTCATGTTGGCGGAACACTTGTTCCTCCTCATCTCTAATCTTTGCTTCTCAGTGCCCATTGGCTTCCTTCTTTCCGGTCACAGACAGACGTTCTCCACACGGGAGGGAACGACAGCCTTTGGACTACGCTCTGTGCTCAGCCACCAGTGAGAGAAGAGACTCTCTCTCTCTCCAAGCTCCGTTTTGACAAAATCTCGGGAAGGTTCTGATGGTTCTGGTTTGGTCCAAAAACCTACTTCTTGAACCAGTCTTTGTGCCTAAAGGGGCAGGGTCTGTAGCAGCACAAAGGATGGGAAGAACACACATAGGGCCATTCCTCCAGCCAGTAAGACAGGCCAGCTTAGAGATGGCCGAGGACATCCAGGTGAGACGGCAGAGCAAAGTCTTCACTGAAGGTGTAGATGTCTAATGGTTCAGAGAGGTGGTTGATTGCCTTGACGAAATTAATGGCAGGACCTATTTCTGATTTGTCGGGCAGGATGTATTCCACAAGCGCGTAAATCGATTAACTCGTAATCTTAATATTTAATATGTATTTTATAGAGGCTTAAGTAGGATCAAACGGTGACATTGAGTTTAAAAATACATCATTTTTAAAAGAAAGCAAATCTCAGAACAGTATGTATAGTATGATTCCAATTAATTAAAACACAACGTGTGTGTGCAGTTTGTGCGGGTGTGCATGCAAGCACGGGTCTGTGTTTCCCAGATTTCAGAAAACAGTTTGGTGCCACATGCACACAGACTGTTTCCCAGACTGGACAGCTGCATTTAACCCTGACCGTTTCGCCATGTTCGTCCAGAACTGCTTGATGCACAGCTTGGAAATTTCGTTCAAGTGAAAAGTCTTATAGGAAAAATAACACTCATTCTTCTATTGAAAGTGAGGTTCTTAAAAAAAAAAGAGAGAGGTTCTTTACTTGTAGTCAAATATTTATTTTCTCTCTTTGCAATTGGCCGGCCTTTGGAGGCACTGTCTGGCGTGGTCTTGCCGTGGCCTACCTGGCCCTCTGTGCTCTCCACCTCCTGTCCTACTGCCCTCTCTTTACCTCTGCTCTCGAGCCCTGGGCCTTCACCGTGCCAAAATTGTTCCCGTAAAGCTTTCACATTTATTTTCCCCACTGTCTGGAACACTCTGCCTCAAACTTCGGTATGGCTGGTTTCCTCTCATCCTTCAGATCTCAGTCCAAATGTCACCTCCTCGGCCCAGGCCTTTCTGACCGCCAAACCAAAAGTACCTTACTCCAGCCCCCAACACATTGCTCTGTTGTATTGACCCATAGCACTCATTCTCTCAAATTATATGGGTTATGTATTGCTTGTTTATTGCTCGTCTCTTCCTTTTAAAGTGTAAGCTCTGTGAAAGCAGGAACCTTGTCTGTATTGTCGTCCTCCATCCCTACCATAGAGCCTAGCTACTCAGTGCATGTTTGTGGAATGAAAAGATACACTGCTGGAATATTATTCAGCACTAAAAAAGAAATGAGCTATCAAGCCATGAAAAGACAGGAAGGGAAGTTAAATGCATGTTACTAAGTGCAAGAAGCCAATTTGAAAAGGCTACACACTGTATGATGCCTACTACGTGACATTCTGGAAAAGGCAAAACTATGGAGACAGTAAAAAGATCAGGGGTTAAGGGGGAGGGAGGGACAAATAGTAGAGCACAGAGGATCCTCAGGCCCACCCGGTATGATATTGTAACGGTGGATACGTGTCATGATACATTTGTTCAAACCCACAGAACGTGCAACAAGAAGACTGAACCCTAATGTAAACCAAGGACTCTGGATTGATAATGATGTGTCAGTGGATGTCCATTGATTGTAATAAATGTACCACTCTGGTGGGGGATGTTGATGGTGGGCGAGGCCAGACATGAGTCGGGGCAAGGGGTACACGGGAAATCTGCGTACCTTGCGCTTGATTTTGCCATGAACCTAAAACTGCTCTAAACATACAGGCTATTTATTAAAAAAAAAAAAGATACAGCGTCCAAGTTGTCGAAATGGTATAAGTATGTGAGTGGCACATCGAGAAGGATTATTTGATGTCAGGATTGTCCTGGGAAAGCTAGAGTTCGCGAAAAACCCAAACCAAAACTTCAGGCAGTGTTTTCCAAATTGGAGTTTCATATTCTGTGCTCAAATAAGGTGACAGATTCCGTTACTGAGGTCTGAGTACTCACCCAGCTCACACACGTGTATTGTGAATCTCTCCATGAGTAGCATATACAGCTATTTCCTAACATTTGATCTAAAACCCATTCTTCATGCCACATCTTCACCATTAATGAGCCTGAGTCCAGCTGAATGCCAGTGTTAGACTTTAAATAGTCTAAACATTTCTCCTCAGAACTAATCCAACATAATTTAGTTATTTATCTTGTTTGGCTGATTCTAAACCACTAGAATCTAAGTTCCACGACAACAGTGTTTTTTTGTCTTGTTTATTCACTATCATGTTCCCAGTGTCCAGAGCAGAGCCTGGCACATAGTAGGTGCTTAATAAATACTTGTTGTAAGAATGAATGAATGGGCAAATGAACAAACACTTTTTATTCTGTCCACAAGTCCTCAGTGAAGAGGGCTCAAGTTTTGCTATAATTATACCAAATTCTGATCCATGTGGTTTATATTCCTGGACAATTTGTGTAATATTTATTCTGGCTGCTGGTCTTTTCACTGTATTTTTTCTGGATGGACAAGTTGGAAGAGTTAAGACAGTGAAGCAGGAGTGAGGGCCTTAAGTTCTGACTCGACTCTCTTGGTGATGATAATAATAACTAACATTGGTATGGTAATTTTCTTCCAGAAGTTATTGCGTTTGGTTCTCAAAATATGCCTGTGAGGCAGGTGTTGGGACCTTCATTTTCAGGTAGATAGGCAAGCTGAGAGACACTCTCTCCACTCAGGTGGTATTAGATCAGCTTTGCTGTAAACCTTGGTCTTAACATGTCAAAGTCCATGTTTATTTCGCGGCAGCCAGCTGCCTCCCTCGCTGGTTGTGTACGCTGGGAAGCCACTTTCCCTTTCGGGGCCTTGGTTCCCACATCTAGAAAATGCCCAGATGGTCTCTTAGATTCCTTCCAACTTTAGAACCTATGACTCTATGAGCCGTTTTTTTTCCTCCATTACCTATTTGAAAAATTGCCATAGCTTTAAAAAGTACTAAAATAATGAGATTTTATGTCTGCTTGTAATTGCACAGCTCTTTCAAAATCTGATTCAGGTGTTAAAAATCAAAGAAATTATGGAAATTTTCTCTTTCTTTTCAAGTAATGCCTAGGAACAGAATACCTTGAAAAAGAATGCATTTGTTTTGTTAAGCATAGCGCCCTCAGAAGGCCCTTCATTATTTAAAAAAATGCCAGGAGAGGATTTTTCTTTGAGCTTATTTCAAAACAAAACATACAGAAGAAAATATAGGAACTTTTCTAGAAATGAAGCCAATTAAGAGCAGAATAAAAATAAATAAATCTGAAATATTTAATCACCAAGTAGCTAAATAAATAAACGTTTCCAAAAAGAAAAGGCAAAACTTAGTCTTCAGTTTATTTACCTGGTAAATTCGCTTTGTATGCAAAACATTTGTATTATTCACATATCTTCGTCTGTTTAAACAAGGCAATTAAACTACCGTTGGGCCACACAGCCACCAGAACTAGCGAGTTGCATTTCTTCTCCATGGGGCATTTTGTTTTGTCTCCTGCTTTTATTTGCAGCCGCATAGAAATGACCTACGTTTTGTGTCACATGAAAAAACTTTACACAGAAATATCTGTATGTGCACATCCTTTTTGGGGTTTTATTTTGCTTAAAAAGTAGAATTCACACAGGCCAAAAAAAAAAAAGACATGCAAAATATTTTTGTGCACACCTCTAACACACTACATTCCACTTATGAAATCTTAAAATTAAAAAAAAAAAATCCCAAAGCAAGAATACCTTGGTTGAAAAGTTAACATTATAAAAGCTAGATTCCTAACACAAACACTGCAGACACAAGTCACTCAGTTGCCAAAAGTTAATGTTTGTAAATGTTAAATAAATGTCAACGATTAAGAGACAAGAACTATAAATCCAAAGTGTATTCTCCACAGTGAACGCTTAAAAACTGTGTGTGGTGTCATAGGACATCCACAGTATTAACTTGAAACGGATACAACCTTAACCTGGACGCTACGCCAAACGTACAAACACCGAGGGAACCGTATTCAAAACTACCTCCTCTCCTTGCTACCTTGAAAATATTTTTTTTGTTTATTTTGCGTTTTGGTAAATAAGAGTGCCTCACAATCTACACTAAGATGTAGAAACACCGATTCAATAAATGACTGTGACGAGGTTGTCCTTTGAAATATTTCACTTTTCCTTTTACTGACTGTACGCTTTTTAGTGATCATACGTGTTTGTGTGTATGTGTGTGTGTGTAAATCCTTTTAAAAGATATTTTGGAAACTTTAGGGGACTTTTTTTTCCTTTCCTCAAAACCAGTCCCTGATAATTTAATTTAATAGTTGGTTGTTTTGGGGGGGTTTTCAGTGAAGATTTGCTTAGAGCCTTTCTGTATAGTCAGCAACCTCCTTGTCCCCTGTATATTTGAACTTTCCAAAAATAACAGAATGCTCTGAGTTACTTGTTTGCTACTCCTGGAAGACCTCCAGGCACTCCCAGCAGACTTTGCTGCCTCGTGCTTTATGTTCACCTTCTTATTGCTCCAAAGGTAAAGCATCTGGCACTCCCCGAGGATGGTGGTGGCTTCACCCTTGGAAAAAACACATGGGCCTCCTGCTAGGGTCCCATCTAGCTGCTTCCTTCTCCCTCGGGGAGAAGGGACGCACTCAGTAGAATGGCAGTGCCCTGGAAGCCTCAGTTCTCAGAAGAAAAAGTGTTCTAATGCATTCCCGTAAAACATGTGAAACGTGCAAAGAGAAAATCCAAAACAGGAGTGAGGAGAGAGGAGCAGCAGACGGGAAGAGTGCCCAGTGCTGTGCTCAGATGGGAGGCAGCCGCCCACAGCCTGCCTCAAGGCCAGGCTCCATGAGCACGCCACCGTGCTCCCTGCAAGGGAAGGAGACGACCCCATCTCCAGCCTCCGGAACTAAGCTTCTATCACCAAACAGCTTTCAAATGCTTACTTAACTCAGGCTATCACTAATATTTTAAAGAAGTTTGAAGACCCAAGTCTATTTCAATAAATACTTAAATAATTGCTAAGTCAACTGAGCTCATCCATTCTCAAAATATTGGCCAGAATGGCGAATAAGTGTCTATCAGTCCATCTTTTCCTTCCGGCAGTCAACACACTTGTACGTAATCGTGCTGGATTTAAAGGAACATATGAGAAGGATGCTGCAGATCTGAGTGGGAGGGCCTGCCAACGCGTGTGTTCCTACTCAGGTTGGCAGAAAGTAATCTTCATCCCCACCCGGAGCTTGGGCATGTTCTCAACTTATTTATTCTGCCATCCTGTCTCAGACACTGCCTCTCTCTTCTTTCCCGCAGGTCACCAAGCCTGTTGGGGGAAGGGGTGCTAAGGAAGACTCACTAAGTGAGCAGTCATAGGCCTGGGAGTGAAATGCATGCACAAAACGGGACACTCATGCTAACGCACCTCACAAAGCAAAACAAAGGCCAAACACAACCCAGAGTCGTCGTAAAAATCTCCTCTCACACACAGCAAAGCAAAACTGGAAAAACCCAATTCCACTTGCGCACCGCAATTCCAACAGGAGCGAAGCCTTCAGGGGACAGTGCAATGTTTCCGACTGAAAGAGGGTAACGGAAGAGCCCGTCTTGGCTCAACCATCTGCAGTTTGAGCCACAGCCCTTCCCGAAGCCCCATCAATTGCCCAGCGGCTCCCGGAAGACATCTCTTTGGATGTCTGGGCTCCCTTTAGAATGTTCGAGTCTGTTCAAGGCCTGAAGTCTGATGTGCAGAGGTAGCCATGACGCTAGTCATGGAATAACACTTCCTTTTTTGGTGAGGAAAGCCCAATCGGTCTTAGCTAACCAGCTCTCAGCTATGGCTCTAAAAATACCCCGCAGCCAGGACTGTTGGCACTTGGCTCGTTTGCCAGAGGAGCTCGAAAGAACTCCGCAGACGCTCCAGATTCTCCACAACTGCTCTGAGCTCCATCTCTGCTCCGGGGACCTCAGGGAAGTGTCCGCCTTCGGGAAAGTGACTTTTCGTTTTTCACTCTTGCGTTCTTGGATTCCTGTCCTTGAACATTTGAAGTACAATTCCAGTCTTGGATTAATTACTAGCTTGGTTTAGGAATCTTCATTTGGCTCCTAGTCTGAACTATGCAAATACATGATCTGAGTGCAGAAGAAAGGACTAAAATTATACTTCAAAAGGGCTCCGTTGCTTCCTGTCTTCCCTCTTTCCCCTCAAAAGAAACACCAGCCTCCTTGAATCCTTTGTTGCCAGCAGCAGGAGCAGCTCGCAGCCTGTCCGCATCCGACGCCCTGGGCTCCCTACACGTGGATGGCGTGCGCGTGCTTCTTGCACAGCGGTTTGTCTTTCTTGGAGTAGAACGGCTGCCCCTCCAGATTCACGTGGCAGACCTGGGGCAGAGAACAGACCGGAGTGAGATGGGCCCTCATAGCCCATGAGGCAGGGGGACCTGAGCAAAAGATTTCAGTCACCCCTGTAAGACAAAGCACCCTCACATGCAGACGGGAGAAAAGACAACAGCCTGTTTCTCCCCACTACAAATTCTTCACGACTGAAGATTAGAGGAGATGGGTTGAACCATATAAAATTTAAAACTTCCAAAGAGGAACGTGGAAGAAAACTCAAATTGACTTAAATTAATTAAATCTAATGGGATAGAGAAAATATACACAATGAAGAGGACCAATTGACGCTCTCCAAAATTTATAAGGAACCAAGACAAGTTCACCAATCAATATCCACTGAGAGGATAAATACGTAAAGAAGTACCATTAGTAAACTAACAATCACGTCAGAAAAAACTATCCTTGCTAATAATTATAGGAAAAAGAAAACCTCCATGAGATACCACTAGACACCTATCTGTGAATCTAGCAAAATAAATAAAGCAAACAAACTCAATGGCTTGTCACCTTTAACCTTACAAGAATGTAGCCAGAAAGTGGGGAAGAAAATGTAATTGATCAGAAGTCAGCAATGCCAAAAGGGAATCAGGCCTACTCGTGCACTGCTGGGGACACATGACTCAGCTCAGTTTGTAAGGGATGTGGCAACCCTGAGGAGGAGCCAGAAGGATGTGCCCACCCCATACCCGGTAACACCACTCTGGACAATTCCATCTGGCAGAAACTACTGCACAGAACAAGAAAGCAATGTGTACTCAACTAAAAACTGGAAACTACTTATATTTCTCTCAATAGGAGGATGATTAAGTAAATTTTTTATGGTATATTTTTCCAACAGAATGCCACCACGAAAATAAGAAATCAAATATGGAAAAATGAATGCAGGGAAATATTCTATGAGAAAAAAAAACAGAGGCGAAATTATATATCCCCATGATGACAACATATGAACGCAGTCTGAAGATGGAGAAATCACGGAAGCGAGCTAAGGAATATCTGAGGAGGTTACTGTGGGTCAGGCAGGATGTCAGACGCTGTAGATACACAATCTCGTTTACTTCTCACGGAAACCTCAGGGGGTAGGTATGACTTTTCCCTATTTCACAGTTGAAAAACTGAGGCTCAGAGAGCCCAAGAGTCTTGCTTAAGTCACAGACCCACTAAGTTGTAAAGCTGGAAATCCATGTCTATCTAGGTCTGCAAGACTCCAGTTCTATGCTAATTTTTCCCACACCCCACAGCAGAGAGGGGCTATGTTTACTTGAAATTGTTCTGGGCTTACAGACGGACTTGTACAGAGGTAGCCCTCTGAGTTTGTTGGACTACCAATATGTAGGCCGGCCCTGGGTGGGCAAAATGTCAACGGTCAGAGTCAATTGGGAAGTCACATTGGCTGGGGTGGGCCCCAGCCCCAGAAAGGGCACTGAGGATCCCTAATGGGGAGCAGAATTGGGGGCCACATCCAGGACTCTGACCATGGAAGTAGTGCAGATGGAGTTCTCATGAACAGGTAGGCGTGAGGATAGAGAATCATCCTCCTGAGAAGACCTTGGGTCAGTGAGCATGTGTCCACTTCAACAGAGTTGGAAAGAAAAGTGGCATCATGGTGGCTCCATGTGCAAGGCCCTGATGGCCAGTTGAGGATGTTGTACTTGGGATCACACAGGGCCGCCAATAGGTCCTGGAAGCCAGTGACCTGAAAAAGTGTCCAAAAACATCCCAAGTGGATGCAGGGATGTTGAGTGTAATCAGGCTCTTGTAGTGGCCTCAAGCTGCTGGGACAAATTGGAGACAAGTCCAAGAAGGTGGCATCCAAGATCCAACTGATGAGGACGGGTTTCAAGGGAGACAGAAAGGCAGCTCTGGAGCAAGTTGGCAAGGAGCAGCCTGTCAACATCTGGGGCTCTGGCCAGGAGACCCTGCCTGGTCTGGGACAGTGCTGGTTACTTCTACAACTTTGGGATGAGTCAGGCTGGAAAGGGTGCCAGGGCACTGAGGACTAAGGAGTGAGGAAGGGCCAGAGCCTCAGAGGTGGCTCATTGATAAGATGGGGCTGAGGGCAGGAACCGTCATAGGGAGGCATGCTGTGTCTTGGGCCAGGAGACTGCAGAAGGGATGCAAGTCGGGTTCATGGTGGAGGAGGCCTCCAGCCTACCCAGCACAGGGACACAGCAGGATGGTCCAGCCCCCAGGCTCTGTGGTCAAGTAGCATCAGGGCCTGGCTGGGAAGGCGTGATGGCCATGGACAGCGCTGACCCTACAGAGTGGAAGGCACTGAAATAGGCTAGCTGCAGCAGCCCGTCTAACTGCTCACAAAAGTTACACCACCACCCATCCTCTCCTGATACCCACACCAATAGGGAAGGGCTGGAAACCAACTAGACTTAGAGGAAAAGAGAGGCCAGTAAGACATCTCTCCCCTGCTGGATTGGTAGGACCCAAATCCTTTCCATTGGAACTCAAGTGCCAAAGCCGGACAGGAGCTTAACTCTCACCCCAACCCACACTGCCCTTCCGTGCCTCCATTTCATATGCCTGGTACTTCAGAGATGCTCTCTTGTCCGCTCTTTAACTGCTCATATATGTCAGCTTTGTTTTCCTTTCATGATTCTAAATTCCTTGAGGGTGGAGATTTGTTCTGGGATCCTCCCGTATTCCCCAAACTCAAGGAATGTTTGGTAAATTGAAATAGTCTAAAGTATGTGCTCTCCTGAGATGTAACTGATGGGAAAACAGCACATCAGCTGGGAGAGCTGGTCCTGATCTTCCTTTCTTACTCTTTTTTTTAAAAATATATGCTCATTAGAAGTGATCTGAAAATATAAAGTGATGGAAAGAGAACAAAAAAAAAAGCCCTCAAAGTTTTCCCATCAAAAGATTGCCTTCCCAAAATGAAACCAAGTTCTGTTTTGAAATATCTTAATGGGGCAGTGAGTGCCACACACGGCTAATTTGAGGGAAGATGTAAGCATTCCCCATGCCGATTCTCTGAAGGATGGGACCTCCCTGGTTTCTTTGGGCAACGCTCTGGGTCTCACACCTGGCTGGAACTTATTTGTAATCTCAGCCTGAACAACCCCAAGCTTTACTGCTTCCTCTGGTCTCTCTCCAGGACTTGTACCATCGTGACTCTCAGCCAAACACAGCAGGCTTGAGGGCGCAGACCCACGCTCTCCTTTGCCATACTTCTCTCTGCACACAACACAGATCTCTCATGAGCCTGCCCTTGGAGAACAGGCCTTCTGTGCCACTGTCTTCCCTGGACTTTCTCCAAGACTCTTGGATCCTTCTAGAAGTTGGGTAACTAGCTGTGCAGGCAGCATCTTTGGATCAGACAAGCCACGGCTTGAATGTAAGCGTCAGAGAGCCCTATGCTGTGCCTTGCTGAGCTGTGGCTCTGCAGAGGACAATCCTAAAGCCAGAATATTTATATCATTGTCCCTTTTTGGAGGGGAGGCCCTGATGTAGTTAAGGCCCCTAAAAGGCAACTAGAGAATCTGTTCAAAGAGCTGGAAAATCAGAGTGCTATGGATTGAATTGTGACCCCCACCAAATTCATACGCCAAAGTCCTAAACCCCAGTACCTCCCACCTACTCAGCACAGGGACTCAGCAGCGACCTTATTTGGAAATAGAATCTTTGCGGATGTAATGAAGATGTGAGTTAAGATGAGGTCGTACTGGAGTAAGGTGGGCCCTTAATCCAATATGACCAATGTCCCTATAGGAAGAGGAGAAGCACACAGAGAGACACAGAGGAGAAGGCCACGTGAAGACACACACAGGACAGCCCTGTGACGATGAAGGCAGACACTGGAGTTACACAGCTCCAAGCCAAGAGACACCACGGACTGCTGGCAGCTCCCAGAAGCTGGGAGGGAGAGCATGGCCCTGCTGACACCTTGATTTTGGACTTCTGGCCCCCACAGCTGTGAGAGAATAAATTTCTGTTGTAGAAGCCATCAGTTTGTGGTACTTTGTTATGGCAGTCCTAGCAAACTAATACACAGAATAAATACAACGCACCCACAAGTGGGGGGAGGCGTATAGAAATGAAGTGTGAAACCTGAAGTGTGTTGCAGTAAACTTTATGACTAGGGTTGTCCTGTGTCATAAGTTTATAAAAATTACTCAAGTTTAAACTATACAGATCTTTCATACATTCCCCAAATTTACCTTGAGCAGCTCTGGTTAAAAATAATAGTAATAATAATAATAATAGTAGTAGTAGCACATTAATTTTCCCAAATACAGCTCAGTCCATTATAGTCTCACCTTACAGGGCCTCATCAGAGATGACTATTTCTAACTCGACTGCAGAGTCGAAACGTCAGTGGGCTCATTGCTGTGCCCCGACCCCAACCCAAAGCCCTCAGAAGGAAAATGCCAATCTCATGGTGGAAATGACCGGGCTGTTGAGCAGAAAGAAACTGCACATGGTTAATAGTTAATCTAAGGCTTATCTCCTGGCAACAATATATCAAGAACAGGACCATTTAGGAAAATGAAATGATACTCAGTTCTGCTTTCTAAAGGTTCTATCAAAAGAAACCTTATCTCAGCTTCTCATAGGATTAGTCAATATGCTCTGATCTAGTGTTTCTGGTGAAAATCGGGGGGAAAACCCTTGAATCATTTCATCATATTTAAAACAACCTATAACCATAGGAAGCCACCCCCTATTTAAACCCCAGTGTCACTGGCTGATCCCACCTATTGAGAGCATCGCTGGTGAGGAAAGTTGCTGGTTTCCCAGATCCTGGGACATTCTGCTGTTATCCTTCATGAAACAGAAAGTGACAAAGCCACAATGGTTGATAAATTATTAGTAATAAAACTTGGCTTGACTGTGACATATCAAGGCATCATTGTATTTGCCAGCATTTAAAACAGATCAGAATATCAGGATGCCAGAGCTGAAAGGGATGTAGAGGGTTGGTCTCTGGCCCGCCTTGGTCCCTCCTGCCCCTTCTCAGGAAGTCAGAACCCCAGGCTAAAAACATACTGCGCAAATGAAGCAGGTGTCATGCCAGGTGTGTCCCAGAGCTTCAATAAACTTGTCACCGGCCTCCACAGGGAAATCGCAGCCATGACACTTGGTGCTGAATAGATTGATGTAGTCTGAAATGAAAGGCAGAGTGAGGACCCGGCCGCCAGGCAGGCTGGGAGGAACGTCCTGGCCACATGGACCCAGCGCCAGGACAACCCCCCAAATCACTAGGCTGGGGACAGTGGGTGAAAACTAACTGGTTATTTGTCATCCTACAGACAAAATACTCAGTTATGTGAGTGGTGTTTTAAATTTCCTTTTCCAATAATTTGCACTGAGGTCGTGCAGATTCACTAGTAGTGACAAAACCGTCACTACCCTGCACTGGTTTGATTGGCAAACACTTTCTGGAACTGTCGTTAACCTTCTGCAGAGTGATCTTGGCCTCTGTCCCTGTCACCTCTTGTAGTCCAAACAGACTAATCCCAAAAAAGAAAAAAGATTCAAATTTCCCAGCAGCTATGCTTATTTTGGAAGAAGGAGAACCCATAACACTTTTAAGAGTCACAGAATGGTCTTTGCTTGGCCATTCTTCTGTCATTGGGCAATTGTGCTGACAACAGATTTTCACTACTAGAAACAATATTTGAGCTACTTTGTCGGGACACATCGCCGACTCCCCCAGCCAAGGAGATAATAATACCAATTATTATTTGTATCCTGCTTTACAGTTTACCAAGCATTCTCATGTAGATGGTATTATTTACCAGTATCTCGACGTCAAGGTCTATGTATTAGTTTTCTTTGTACTTCCAGTGCAGTGCCTGGTGCACAAGTCAGTACCCAGCACATACGTGTTGAATGAATGAGCGAATGGATGAACCAATAAAAAAATAAATCAATGCATGAACTTAGTTTTTGCAAAATTCCTCGGAGACTGAACTATTACTGTTTTTCTGTTTTGTTTTATTTTGTGGATGAGGAAACCGAGGTTCCAAGAAGTGAAGGGCATAGCCAGAGTCACACGGCTGAGACCCAGGAGCCAGGTCCCGTGCTTCTCCCGGACAAGAGCTGTCCTCTCTGGGTCATGGGGGCAGCATTTCTACTGCACTCCCTCTAGAACTCATTCAGATTCTTTGAGAGAAGCTCGATGCCTTTTACAAAGCCTTCACGCCCCCAGAAACGTACTTGGCTCTCCACAGCTCTGCTATGGGCTTTTTCTTACAGCGAGTCTCTGCCCAGATCTCCTCGTGGACAGCGTGCCCCTTCACTGTCTCACCACGTGCCGAGAGGCAGGTGCCATGGGGGTTATGAACTTGGGTTCTGAAGAAAGACAGAGCTGGGTTCAAATCCCAGCTCTCCCAAGAAATTGTCCAAACCTGGGGCAAGTTGCCTAACTTCTCAATGCCTCAACTTTCCCATCTAAATAATGGGAATAACTATAGTACCTAACTCATGGGGTTATACAGAGTAAATAAGAGCCTGTATGTGAAATACTTGGCACAAATACTCAAAAATGTTGGCTCTTACTTTGAATGATGAAAAGAGGGAAGTGAACGCGACATGAGTGCCTACTATGTGCCAGGCCAGTATTAGTGCCTTTCTATGTTTCTTGTTTAATCTTCACAGCAGCTCTGCGAAGAAGCATTATTCCCATTGTAAAGTCAAGGAACCTGGCTGTCAAGGTGCCATCACAGAAAAGGTGAGGAGCCTGGAGGACTCCAAAGTTCAGCCTTTTTCCAGGACTCCATGCTCTCCTCTTATCTATTTCCCAGTGAGCTTTGATAAGTTCTATCTCTTGCATATTTTCTCCAACACATGATTTCCCCTTTGGGGTTTAATTACAGTTTGTCATGCAAATGCGTTTACATAAATCGCAGTCCATTAATCTGTCTCTCGCGGAATACTTAATTTCTTCAGGAGGCAGAAGTCTGTCACCTCACCAGAGCTAGGAAAACATTATTCTGCTTCATTTAGAAAGTTTCAATAGGTTTACCGTTCACTCTGTGGTCAGTAGGAACTTACCAGTGTGGGCTGAGAACAGGACTATAGGCTAACCCATCTCCACTGTAGGGCAAACCCCGCACCCCACTTCTCTCTCGTTACTCCCAGTCGGCTCCAGGTGCCCCAGACCCTCTCTATGACCTCCCTGTCTCTGTATGAACCAGTTCCTGGCCTCGGAAAACCCTCCCCACTTTGCCTACCTGAAGCTCTGCAATCCTTTGGGCCCAGCCTTCCTTCTGGGAAGTCCTCATCACCAACCCCAACCAAGACAGATGAGATGGGCTTCCTGAGGGCTTCTCCTGGGCTTCCCTCCCTCTGCATTCATTCATTCCTTCATTCGTTCATTCATATCTCTTAACTGTCTATTTACATGCCGGCATATCACATGATGATGGGTCTGCTTGAGGCTTTCGAGGGCAGAGACCCCCTCCTCTATGCTCAGTGCCTTTCACAGGAAGTCTCACACATTTGATGGCTAAACGATGAATGGACAAACAAAGAAATGGTTCCAAAAAACCTTATTAAATAGTGCTTCCTTCTCCTGCTGTGCAGCCTATGGTTTTTCACAGATTAAGCTCTTACAATGGCTTGAATTTATTTTTGCAATGTCTAGTCTTGCCTACCGATTGATTTTTCTGTTTTAAACTTGATTCTGTATGATCTGGAGAATTGCCGCTTTGTTTTAAAATTTGGTAGCACAGGTCTGACCCTAATACAGTAAAAGAAAAAAAAAGCTGATTTTTTTCCTCATTCATTCTACAAAAAGAGAATGTAATTGGTATCGAATTAAGTTTGTGCATGGGCCTTGCCCACCAGGAGCACAATCTAGTTCCTCATTTATTCCTTCCTTTACTTCTCCTATTAGGTCTTTATAATTTTCTTTGACTGTCTTATGCCGCAAGTTGAATTCATACCCTGTATTTAATGGATTTTATTGCTATTGTAAAAGGATTAACATCCATCAAGGCACAGATGCTTGGTGTTGAAAAAGGGCTTAGTGCTTTACTAAAGCAGAGGCTCTCAAAAGTTAGAATCATCTGGAGGGTTCATTAAAACACAGATTGCTGGGCCCCACCCCTCAGAGTTTCTGATTCAGCAGAGCTGGGGTGGGGCCCGAACATCTGCATTTCTAACAAGTTCCAGGTGACACTGATGCTGCCAATTCTGGGACTACGCTTTGATTCCCAAACCGAACGGAATATCAGAATCACCTGGCGGGGAGGGGCACCCCATGAAATTCTGCTTCTGTAGGTCTGAGAATTTATCTTCTCTATAGCTTTAAAGTTCCCCAGGTGATTGCGATGCGCCAGCAGGCCTGGGCACTGCTCAGGTGTAGGCCCACCAATGAGAGGCTGACCCTCTACCTCTCTTCTATGCAAGATATCATTATACAGAAGTGTCAGCTCATTATTACAGTCAACTGAAATCTTTTTGGGTCTAGATCCTATCATTCTGGTTTCTCAGATTTGACAAGCCTCCCTCCGTGTCTTCTTCCAAGTTGTTGATAAAAATGATGACAAGGTACCACAATGAGATACCATCCCACACTCATTGGGATGGCTACTTCCAAAAATACAGAAAATAACAAGCGTGGGCAAAGATGTAGAGAAGTTGGAACCCCGTGCACTGTTGGTGGGAATGCAAGATGGTGCGACTGCTATGGAAAACAGCAAGGAGGTTCCTCAAAAATCAAAAATAGAACCACCAACTCATCCAGGAATCTTACCTCTGGGCATATACCCAAAAGGATTGAAAACAGAGTCTTGAGAAGGTATTTGCACACCCGTGTTCATAGCAGTAGTATTCACAACAGCCAAGAAGTGGAAGCAACTCAAATGTCCATCAGTCTTTTTGGGGGGTGACTATGGAAAGGGGCAGTGGTGATAGTAGAAATCGATCCTTCCTTCACTAGCCTCAGACACCAATTGTGGCTTATCGCAAATTACGAAAGTTATAATGCTTTTAGTCAACTAATAACAGCAACTTGTATTGGCACAACAGCACTTTTATTAATTACCAGTTATCACCACATGCTTCTAAGAAAGGAAAAGACAGGTGTTATCTGCTTTTTACAGATAGGGAAACTGAGGCACAGACTGACTAAGTCATCCAATTAACTTCAGAGCTGGAAAGAGAATTCACCAGCATATAAGAACTCAAGAAATGTCTTTTATAATTTATTGTCAGGGGAAAGAGATTTTATTTTGTTTTGCTTAGGAACTGGGATGTTTTCTTTCTGGTTTTAAAGTAAACTAACTTACTGTGTTTCTCTTTTTGCCCTCAAATTTGCCTCCCCATCACTGCTGCTCTGTTATTCCTCATAATCAGCATGCTTGCTTTTCCCTCGTCTACTTGGTGCTGACTTTCTGGTTCTATTGTCTTAACCTTCATTTCTGTGGGACCTCTGTTGGAACCTGCCTCAAATCCTGGTTTGAAAGAGGCAGGCTATGAATAAATGAGGAAATGAGTGAACAAGTGATGAGTGAGGGGGGGAGTAAGTGAATGGCCAGTTAGCCAGGACACCCAACTCTAATAAAGTGCTTTTCCTTCAGATTCATGATTTACTCCAAGTTTTAAGACAACCTATAGCATTTTGGGGAACAGAGCAACTCTGAATTCAGACAGAGACCACAGACTCTGAAGGGGCTTCAAAGGAGCACGGGGTGGGGGATGTTCACGTGTTTGCTGCTTCACCCGCTTTCTCTCGTTCAATCCTCCCCACAACTCTGTGAGGCAGCTGTGTATTTCCCCCTTTTACAGACGGGAAAAGCGAGGCTCAGAGAAGTTTAGTAACTCACTCAGGGGTTCAAAGCCAGCCTGAGGTGGAGCCTGGAACAGAACCCCGGATGAAGCCCAGAGGCAAAGCCTTTTCAGATTAGACCTTGTGGTCTCCAACTCGAAGTCAACGGAAAGGTCTCCCCAGTGGTGACAAGATGCCAACTTGTAATCCACATATTTGGTGCCAAGAAGGGAGCACAGATTGAATGTGTGAAAAAGGAACCTACACACCCGCCCCCCATCACCCCCAAGAAAGCATGATTCTGCCATGTGGAGGCGCCCGCCGGTTCGATGTGAGCAGACACAAGCAGGAGTTCCCGGTGCCCGCCCCCTCCTCCCGGACTGTGGGGTCCCCCCACAGCCCCACTGTCCTACCCTTCTCGCAGTAGGGCTCCCCGTCTTCCATGTGGAAGAGGCTGTTCCCGAAGGGCTTCTTGCAGGCTGCACAGACGAAGCAGGTGGTGTGCCACGTCTGTCTCAGGGCGTGCATCACTTCCTGGGGGAAAGAGCCTCAGCTCAGGACAGGAGAGTCCAGGGGAGAGAGGGAGCTGGGCTTGACTTCCCCACCAAGCCCCGGCCTCTGCTGGCGCATCCTATAGGGGAGCAGGGCAGGAGAGCCCAGGAAGAGGGCCTTGGACAGGCTGAGGAAAGGCCCAGGTCGGGCAGACGAGGGGCTCCCTCACGCTGTGTTGCTGGCTGCCAGGTTCTGGGTGTGCTTCCATAAGCTGTGACGCTTAACCCTCCCATCAAACCTGGGAGGGAGGTACTGCTTGTTACTGCCATTTTATCAAAGGGGCACGGAAGGTCAAGGCCACGTGCAGGTGCACGGGGAGGTCACGCTATGAAGCGATAACTCGCTGGGCAGAAGCTCCATCCGCCACCACTTCAAGCTATGTGGCCCAGGCACGTAATCATTTCTCGCTCTCCCTAGTTCATTGGCGGCAAAGCAACTCCCTTCTAGCATAGACACGGACTTGTTCTCTTTCTGTTAGCAGCAACTTCTTGGCTCCCCAGTGGGACCTCCACAATCTTGGGGTGCGGGGAGAGACTGGTTGAGGGAAAAGGGAAGGGTCAGAGGAGAGGGAGGCTGCTCACTTACCCCCATGATTTTGGTGTTGCACTTGGCACAGATTGGGGCAAAAAACTGCTCATAACACCGCTCGCAGTAAACGTTGTTCTGCTCCTCCACAAAGCACACGTCCGCCAGGGAGGTCTTGCAGTAGGCACAGGTGAACTCTTCCGGGTGCCAGGAGCGGCCCATGGCTACCAGAAAGGGGCCCCTAGGGAAGCAGAACATAGCACCCACTAAGGCGGCTCCAAAAGCTTGAGACCAGATATTTCAAGACTCCCAACAATAGTCATACTTTGATCCAATAAACCTGACTTTTGCTACTGTTCTAATGAAATAATGTGAAATTGAGATGAAACTCTGTGCAAAAAGATATTCATTGTTACATCACTTAGAACAAAGAGAAACGGGGAAGCAACTCAACCATCCACCAGTAGGGACTGGGGAAGCACATTACCGACTAGCCATTCAGTTGACTACTAATAATTAGAATAAGAAGGGCAGTGATGACGGTGCTGATGGCTAATATTTATTAAGTGCGTAGTCTGTGCCAGGTACCATTCAAGAAAAAATGCGCATTTATTAACTTGTTTAATAAGCTTAAAATTTCTCAAAACAATCCTATGAAGCAGGTACTATTATGATACCCATTTTCAGGTTAGGAAACTGAGCCACAGAGAGGTTAAGTAAGTTGTTCAAGGCCACAGGTCAGTAGGGTAGACCCAGGACACAAACTTGGGTAGCCTAGTTCCAGATCAGTAGTCAGAACAGTAGGACTACAAGGAAATATTTTATATTTTAATTTTCACTTTTCTGGAGTTTCTAATTCTTCTCTAACGAGTATGTACTACTTTATTTTTAAATAAAAGTGTATTTTTCATAGATACAAGCTCACTTGACATCCCCCACCCCACACACATGCTATAAACATACTAGATTCAGACAAGCACCCGCCATGATCCCTGAGTTCTGAGCGTGAAATGACTCATTTCCATTTCAGTGAGACAGATGCCCACCATATAGCCCTGAGCAGCACAGGCCTGTCTGTGGAAAGACCCAGAAGCAACCCTACAGGACAGCTGGGTCAAAACTAGCACCGTCAGCTAGCTTGCGACATGCCCAATAAACCTACTGACAAGACTGGGATTCTTAGAACCCGGCCTTCGCCCAAGGGGGCGGTCCTGGCACCAGGCACTCTGGAATCCTCCCACCTCCCCAGGGAAGTGGGTGTCACACAGGTATGGCAGCTAAAGCTCAGAGAGGGTGAGACCAGAGGACGAGCCCGAGGGACCTGAGGCTGCCCTGCACGCGGCCTTCTCCCGCTCCCTGGCCCCCATCTCCCCTGCCCCCCTGCAGGGCCCAGACAGCGGGCAAGCCCCCTGCAACCCCGCCTCCCAGCACTCCACCACAGGGGCCCAGCTGGACCATACCGGATGATGCTGTTGCAGTGGCCACAGAGCGGAGTCCGGCTGCTGGCTGGGAAGCGCTCGGCCCTCTGGACAGTGCCCCTGGCAAGGGGGGACACTTGGGGGCCTGTCGTCGGGGTGTAGGCAGGGGCCCCTCGGGGGAGGGTCTGCTTGCTGATGGAGGTGGTGCTCTTGCCAGGGGCAAACTTCTGCGAGAAGCTGTCATCTGTCACCCACGGGGGGCGGCTGGCAGACTCCGCAGGGCCCCCGCTGTAGGCGGCCGAGGGAGCAGGGTTATAGCTTGGGGCAGGCGAGGGGGTATAGGCTGGGGCCGGAGAGGAGGAGTAAGTGGGGGCAGGTGAGGGGGTGTAGGCAGGGGCAGGAGAGGGGGTATAGGGAGTCGGGCTGTAATTGGCCCCCGGGGAAGGGCTGTAGGTAGCCGCAGGCACTGCAAGCCAAAAATATCCAAAGAAAACTGTGTCAGGAATTCATTTCCCCCAACTTCCCCCGCCTCAGCCGGAGAAAGGTGACTTTAACATAGAGCAGTACAGAGCCCTTTTTATGGGAGACGTGTTCCTGAACCTCCTGATGCCCCAGATTTGAATGGGAGCCGAGGGAGCTAAAGAGCAGTGGGAGCGGAGCCCTCGGGAGCTTGCACGGGGCTGGCAGAGGGACACAGCTATAAATATCTGCAGCTGTGCGGGGTGGGGCTCAGCCAGGCCTGGGCCGCCAGGGGCCTACACAAGATGGGGTGGGGGTGGGGCGCCAGGCAGGGCTCACGTCTGTCTGGGTCCGCTGGGCAAGAGGGAAGAGGGTAGGCGTGGGTCAGCCTGGCCTTGACTGGGACATGCTTTTGGTGGCACTCTGACCAGTGATTTGGCATCTGAAACACCGCAATGGGGTGCATCTGCTGAACCTGGACCTAATCTCTTTGGGACAAAGCAGATGGCAGTGGGTTTTCAGGTTTAGCTACGATCGTTTTCTTGAAAAAGAGCTTGGCTTGATTTGTGTGGGGGTGAAATTCCACCTAGGTTTGATTAGAGTGGGGGGTCTTGAAGGAGTCGTTCAGAGGGAGCCTGGGCAGAGACGCTGGGGCGACACGGCCCAGGTTGCGCTGCTTCTGGGGCCCCGTGCCCCCCACATCATTTTGGTGGAATGGGAGAGTGCTGCGGAGTGACCGCGTAGAGGTTCACAAGGCAGTCAGAGTGTAGAAAGAGAAGGCGCCGCCCACTTCTGGAACGCCCTCCTTCAGTTCACTGAAAGCTTAGAAGCTTTTTGGGGTGACAGGAGAAAGGCCTCTGAGGCTGGGCCCCCAAAACCCCGGTTTGTTAGTGCTCTCCTGCCTCCACCACAGAACCAGCGGGGGCAGACCCAGCGGCGTGTGTCCTGCACACACCGTCCAGCCACCTCCTCTCCCAGCAAGAGAGCTTCCAGAAGCTTCACCTCAGCCCACAGTCTGCTCCTCTGGAAAGAGGGCTCATACCCTCCACCCCAAGAAGCAGGTCCGGACAGCCTCCCTCCCCATGCCTGAGCCTGGCCTGGGTGGACAGACTGTGCTGAGGGGTGCTGAGGCAGCCCCCACCGGGCTCCAGCCTGGAAGGGTGGGCGTTTCTCAGGCTAAAGGCCCTGGCCTGGCCTCTGGTCTCTCCCACCTGGTTGCCCTGGACCACCCTGGAGGACTTGTGGCCTGCTGCTCCAACTCTGTACCTCCTCCTCCCAGATGACCGGTCCTTAGAGCTGGGTGTCATGGAAACCCCTGCGCTGGGGGTGGGTAGGGACCAGGCCCATGTTATGGAAAGCCCAAGGGGTAAAACCTCCCAGTCCTGCCCTGGGGCCATCCTGGCAGTGATGTTGGCCTCCAAAAGTACAACCCTCTTCACAAGGAATCTTCTTCCCACTTAGTGAGGAGGTAGACCAGGCACATAACACATCATCTGAGTTAGTCCCCTTCGTGGTTGAGGTCACCACGGCTCAGAGCCAGTAAGTGGCAGAGCACATTTCCAAAACTATTCTTTCTATCACGCCAAGCTGCCTCTGTAAAGAACACAAGTCCAATTTCCAGAAAATCTTGGTGCACTGAGTAACTGTCAACATGGAGGAGGCCCCGTGCTCTGGCACATGGCACAGCCATTAAGAGCCCTGGGTTCAGGTCTCAGCTCTCCTGTATCCTGGCTGTGTGTCCTTGGGCAAGTTCCTTAACATCTCTGGGCCTGAATTTCCTTGTCTAAAAATGGCAATGATTCTTAAGACCTCACCGGGTCGTTATGAGGATTAAGGGAGATAAGAAATATAAAGTGCTTAGCCTAGTACCTGCACAGTGTGCATGTCACTAAATGGTAGCGAGGATGGTGAGGCTAGTGACTCCTGCGTCTCAGGGTTGGGATGAACTGTCAGCTCATCGCACAGCCTGGGGGTCACCTGGGGGAGCCCAGCCCAGGTAGACTGTGGGATGTGGGAGGGAGGAGTGGGAGATGTGACACCCTAAAAGCAGATAAACTGGGACTGAGTCTACAGGCTGGTGGTGGTATGCATGACACCCCTGCCTGCCTCACAGGGAGGGGTGGGGACCTACCGTAGTGACATGTGCAATTTGTAAATTCGTGAAGCCCAGATTCAAGGTGTTGCCACCCTCCTTAACAACCTTGCATAGCTCCCAAGTGTCCAGAGCAGAGGGTCTCAAAATGCTGGGGACAGCAGTGATGTGGGGAATGCCACCAGGGAGGGGGTGAGGGGAGAGGTGGCCTAGGAGGACTTCAGAGAAGCTTTGTCCCTCTCTGATATACATAATGGGGTTCTGCGCGAGATTTTGCTTCCTTTTTTGTCAAGCAGGGGATCTCCGATAAAAGGGATTAGGAACCCTAATCCTGTGCTGTCCGATACATCGCCCTATGTGGCTGTGGAGCACTTAAAAGGTGGCTAGTCCGAATCGAGAAGTGCCAACGGGGTAAAACACACGAAGATTTCAAAGACTTAGTGCAATACAAGAATGTAAAATACCTCATTAACAATTATTTTATATCGATCACATTTTGAAATGATATTGTGGATATACTGAATTAAATAAAATATATTAAAATTAATTTCACCTGCTTCCTTTTACTTTTTTTTTTTAAGTGTGGCTACTAGAAAATTTATTTTTATTGGACAGTGCAGTCCTTATCAGAACACTGCCTGCCAGGAACTGACTGCTTCCCCAGACCAGGCCCTTTATGTGCCTCGTTTCCTGCAGGTCTCGCTGCAATCCGATGAGGAAGAGAGTATTTTCAAGCCCGTTTTACAGATGAGGAATTGAGGCTCGCTCGGACAGCTTCAGTGACTCCCCCAAAGTCACTGAGCTACTGAACTACCCTAGCTGAAACTGGGGCTCAGGCAGTCGGACTGGACTCCTCCATAGCTGCTTAACCACTCCCTAGGCAGCAGAACGGGCTTTAGCACGCCCCTTCCAAAGAGGGCCCTTGCCCACTCTTCCTGCCTCCCTCCAGCAGTACTAACCCTGTCCCTCTGCCTGGCAGACATTCCCTTCCCTCCTCTGGAAGGCCTTCCAGACCCCTCTCCTAAGCCCCACGACACGAGGTCCCAGCAGGGCAGAGGCAGGCCGGAATCTGGACCCCGGGTGGGCTGCTTGCATGCCCAGGGCTGCCCCCACCCGGAGCTGGGGACCTTTCCTTCCTCGGGGCACGGCCGCCAGCTCCCCCCCATCCCCCACTGCATCCCTCCCTCCCTCTCGGCTGGGCGGGGGCGCAGCTGCTCCGCGGGCCCCTTCCTTCTGCGCCCCTCCGCCCAGCCCCGCACACCACCCGACATGCCTGGAGAGAGACCTGATACCCCATCTCCGCGCCCGGGGCTGTTGCTATTTCTGCGTGACGGAATGAAGCCCGTCCAAATTAGAAGGTGATATTTCATCTCTAATTGGCAAGTTCAAAAGGCTCCTATCGCACTCGGCGGCCCCGGGAAGGTGTAATTAAACAAGGTGATTTCTGACTCATTGCAGGTCGGGCCCAGCTCCCCGCGAGCGCCCGGCCCCCGCCCGGCCCGCGGGCCGACGTGGCCTCCCCCGGCCGCGCGCGCCCCTCCGCCCACGGCCCGGCCGCCGCGCCCCTCCCGGGCCCCAGGTGCTGCGGGAGAGGCCGCCCGGCCGCGGCGCCAGCGATAAGATCCGGGCTGCGATCGCCGCCCTCGGCCCGCGGAGCCCCGCCTGCTCCGAGGGGGGTCGGCCGAGGAGGGGAGGGGAGGGGGCCCGGGCCCCGGCCACCAGCTTCTCTCGGGGCCGCCTGCCAGCCGCCCCCGGACCCCGCCCGGCGGCAGAGCCTACCCCGAGAGGGTTGGAGGCGGGCGGGCCCCGGCGCGCGCCCCGGGCAGCAATGAGTTAACGTCTGCACTGCCTGGGAACGCCGCCGAGGCCCCGGGGCTCCGGCACGTCCCGCGCGCCCAGGCCCCCGCCCGGGACGCAGGCGGAGAGGGCGCCCACCGCCGGAGCCCGGCCGCCCCCTGGCGGGCCTGCCGGGGACAGCGGGCGGCGGGGCGGGGGCGCCAAGCCCGGGCCCGCCCCGGAAGGTGCCGGAGGGACCCGCCTGGGAGGTGAGCGCTGTCCCGGCTGGGACGGGAACGCCCTCCTTGCGCCCCAACCAAGCCTCACCCCCGCCCCCCGCTGCTCTTGCAAACTCCCCTCCACCCGCCCTCCGCTGTGCCGGTCGCCGCGGGCAGCCCCACTGAGACTGCTCGTCGTTGCAGCCCGCTCGACACGCTAGCGACCCTGCGGACTTTTAACTTCAGAACTTCGCGTCTCTGCCTCTTTAGGGACAGAGAAGGGCCCCTCCCGTGCGCCAGGCACGGTGCTGGCGCTTCATTTTCCCCAGCGCGCGAGGTGTGCAGAGTATCATGCCCATTTTTCAAACGAGGGAATTCAGGCCCAGGAGATGAAGTGCTTGGTCTTAGGCAGCACAGCGGGGTCAGTCTGATAGCAAAGCCCGTTCTACCGCCCACACTCAGCGCTGCTGTCAGAGTGAGGCCTATAAAACAGTGACGGCGGTTCCACCGCCCTACGCAGCACGTCCCAGCTCCCCGGAGCGAGGCCCCCCTCACTCAGTCCCTGTCTTACCCGACCCCTCTCCAGCCACAGGGACAATGCACTCTGGGGTCTCTCATTTTCCTTAACCAGAGGTGCTCCTGAATCCAGACTTCATCCCACGGTTGCTCAGCCAACTCCCCTCTCTTGCATGACAAAGAGAAACGCTCTGCCTTCCCCATTAGAATTAGCTACCTCATTCTTTCCCAAACAGGACATTAACTTCCCCGCTTCATCAGTTTTACCATCTGTCAAAATGGTAGGTGTGCAATAATTTTAGGGGGGAAGGACACTTTGTATCACTCGTGCAAGTGGAAAGTCATTGCTCTCCATAACTTCATGACGGCTGTAAAGATGAATATGTAGACGGTATAAGGCTTTAAATGAAAAGCAGGTGCCCACCTAATATGCTCTCTCAGTCATCTGTGGACCAGGCACCAAGGTGCCCCTCTGGGAACCCTGGTGACCCATTACCCCTGTGTGTTTGGCCACCAGAAGGCCCAGCTCACAGCTCCCTCCCCCGACTTTCGCTTCTCCCCAGCATTCATTCATTCATTTGTTCCTTCTTTCACCCCCTCTGCTGAGCATGTCCTCTGGGCCAGGCCTGAGTCAGCCACTAGGGCTGTAGTACAGACAACTCCCACAGCCCTGCCCTCCTGGAATTCAGAGTCAGAGTCCAGTGGGAAGGAGGGGATAAATGGTGATATCGGCACTCGGGGCCCAGATGCCAGGAGCCCTCCTGTGGGCACATCCCATAGAGCAGGGCACACGGGACCTTCCCCTGGTCTGGGAAAATCCCTGCTAAAGAGCCCTTAGGTTCACTGAGCAGGGACAGGCAGGGGAAGGTGGGGTGCAAGCCAGCTTGAGAATTGCCCTTGGGCCCTGGGGAGCAGGCCCAACTTTGCCTAGGAAAGAGGGAGTCATGGGGCTGAGCCCTCATCCCTGTGAGGGGGCCCTGGGCAATGATAAGACTGGGGACCAGAGCGATGGAACAGCCAGCCAGCAAGCTCAGCCACCAGCAGGCCCTGTGCTGGCCGCTCTGCTGCCTATGACCTGTGCTCTCATGCCTCCAGTTATCCTGTCTCGGCTGAGGAAACCAAAGACCAGACAGGTTGAGCAGCTTGCCCAGGGCACACACCGTGATGCAGCAGGTCTGTCCAAAGCCCGCGGCATTTTCATTGTGGCTGCTTCTCCTTGGGCTTGAGCCAGACCCAGACTCCTGGAGGAATAAGCTCCTCCCTTCTAAACCCTCTCTTCCCTCACCTTGAGCCTGAAATCCCCAGCCAGGAATGTCCTCTTCCTCACAGCTGGGAGGGTTCATCCCTGCCTGGCACGGCCCACCTGTCTCCCAGGGCCGGAGGCAGGCTCCATAGGATTCTGGCCCACAGCTGGGGGAAGGAGGGCTGAGCCTCGTTAGCGGGGCCTCCCTGACCACCATCCTTCTGGGCATGTGGCCTCGGAGCTGACCCCTGGAGCCCACGCCCCTCCCATTTTGCTTCTCACCTGGCTGGTAGACAGAGGGCCGGATGCTGGCAGTGGTGACAACCCGGGGCTTGGGTGCAGGGGCAGCTGGGGCCTCACTGTATGTATGGGTGGCAGGTGCCGAAGAGCTTGCTGCAGCCGGACTGTAGGCCGAGGCCTGGGGCCTGGAACCAAGGGAGAAGAATTAGCAGCCAGCAGGACAGCCCCAGCCAGGCCCTAGGGCCTGCAGCCATGGCAGGTTGGCTCCCCCATCTTCAGGAGCCTCTGTGAGGAGGAAACCTGACAGAGATGATCCTGGGGAGCTGCCAGAGGCTGTGAAGGAAAGTCCTTGGGCGTCTCAGAGGAAAGGACGCTGCTCCGTGGGTGCTGAGTCTTGGTGAGTCTGGTTAGAGCAACAGAGACACCTTGAGAAATACAGCCCATTGCTGGTGCCACCGCCATAGGAGAGATGGAGGAAAGCCACCAGCCAGACAGGAGGATGCACAGAAAACCTTTCACCCTGATGGGGAGAGACTGTCAGAGTGGGGCTGGGGCCGGAGGGCGCAGAGGCAGGACAGAAGAGAGAGATGCAGGTGGTCACCTTCTGACCTGCTGGGGCACCTCACAGCCTCACACTGCCTGGCCTTTCCCCTCCTCCTTTCTATCCTATTGTTGCTGGAGGGAGCAGCAAAGTCTCAGGTTTCCGGGCAAGAGTGTTCCATGGAGGGCTCATGGGAAGCCAGGAGACCCCCTCAACTCCCCCCCACCCCGACACAGGCTTCTCTTCCGTATGAATTCCTGTTGCCTTCTCCCACTGGGTTAGCTGCCATGAGGCCTAGAGCAGCCTTTTCCCATTTGTGACCCGGGGACCATGGGACCAAAGAGATGGGAAAAAAAGCGTCCCAGTTCATTGCCCTCAGGAAGTGCTGTACTGGCCTCTCCTCTGGGAGAGCTAGCGGCTGCAGGAGCTTCTGGAGTTAAGCAGCCTGTTTAACTTTGTCTGATCCGGTGTTTCCCAATTTCATTCATCTGTGAAACCCTTTTTTTTCTTTTTCATTTAAAACTAGCAAATACCTTACAGAACATGTCCCTGGTCTTGCCCTGAATCTTTCAGATCCCAGTGGGGACCACATGACCATACTCAGGGCAAATGGGTCATTGATGGGGGTGCTGGGGACATGAGGCCCTGGAAATATACCACCCCCCAGCCCATGGCGTCCTGCCTTCCTTCCGCCCATTCCCCATGGGCGCAGGGCCTGCCCATCCCTGCTTGGCGGAGCTCAAGATAAGGAATTCCCTTCCTCTCTAGGGTTCTGGGATGAACCTAGTGCCAAGCTCCTGTGCAGATCCAGAAGGGCGTGCGGTGCTGTCCCACACAGTGCAGAGGTAGAACGAGCCTCTGGCAGCCAGCATCCCAGACCTGGGGATGTGCAGACCTGCCCTGCCAAGTGGCCGTGTTTCTGGCTGAGTGAGGCCATTGTGTCCCCTCCCTGGGCCTGCCTGCCCTTCTCTGATAAACCCCTGTTAAGACCAGTAGAGCAGAGGCCTCAATGGAGGAGGAAGAGGCAGTGTCCATGGGGTGCCCAGCTTCCACTGGTGGGAGAGGGCCAAGGGTCAGTGGGTCTTAGCCAGACACTCCCACCAGTGGAGGATGCTTTCTCAGCATCCCAGGAGCTACGGCTCCTGTATCAGGGATTGGTGTTGGGGGAGGAAGCAGAGACATAAGACATCCAGCAAAAATTCTGAGGCCATGCTCCCATGAAAGGCTGGGGTGCCCATCTGCCTCCCACTGGCTCCTTCTAGCTCCATCCCAGCCCTCATGCATGAAGGGAAGGTAGCTGGCCCCAATGTGTGGTCTCCTGATCCCTGCAGCTCCAGGCGATGCTGGGAGCCCTGTAGTCCCTCTCCAACCTCCACCCAGGTCTCCTCTCTCTGTGAAGGAAGGGTTTGCCCCATCAAGGGAGTCGTGAGGGCCTCAGGACTCCGAGGCCTGGAGCGTGGGGCTGGAGCCTGCCCTTGAGGAGGCCCCTGCATCTAGAGCTTCCCCATCCAAACTGGGGAGGCATCTTCCCACTCAAAGACAGGGACATTTTGTACCCTCCTCCACGCTTCTGCTTTGTGCTCTTACCTGGAAAGGCTCTGGTGTGCAGAGGGGAGGCAGCTTGCTGAGGGCCCCCAGGAAGCTGGGATGAAACAACCCGTGGAGGCCAGGCCGGGGTCCCCCTTGAGGAGAGGCTGGGCGTGGCACCACCTGGGTCGCTGTGAAGCCCAGGGGTCGGGGCACAGCACACAGGCCTGTGGGCCACTCTGCCTCAGGCTGCACCGGGGACCTATGCACCCTGACCCAGAGAAGCATGTCCTTTCCAGCAAAACCCCGGGAGGGGAGTGTGGGAGACTGGAAAAGCTGTCTGACCCCAAACACCAACTTGACAGCTCCACACAGCCCAGAAAGAGCTGGGCCCACCGGCCTTTGGCATTGCCTGCTCCCTCCAGAATGACCTGTCCAGCCTGCCCCACACCCCTTCAGCACTACCCCCTGCCTTTGCTGGGTATCCAGGAGGACAGGCTGGAGTGCAGCAACTCACATTGAGAGCATTGTACGTGCTAGATGTTTTATGTACACTTTTCTATCCTGACCCTATAAAATAGATATGGCGTTAAACATAGTAGCAGATACGTTAGCAGAAACTGAGGCTTGGAGAAGCCAAGTCACTTTCTGAGGGTTACAGACAGTCATGGGTGGAGCAGAGATTCAAATCCTACCACGCCGGGGGTCCCTGGAGTCAGCATGCTTCTCCATCAAGAGAAGAGAGGCTAAGGGATGGGGGCAAGTCAGTTGGTAAATATCTGGCCAAATCTGACCCTCCTTCTGTGCCCAGGTCAATGCTCCCTCCTTCATGGAGCCTTCCTTGACATCCTCCACCCACAGGGACAATTGTCATTCTCCCTAATCCCGGTCCCAAGAACACAGCCTTTCTGCACAGTCCCCTTCGTTAGCTAACTCTGTGTGTGTGTGGGATTTTTACCTCCCTCACTAGAGCATGTGCCCCTGGGAGGCAGGGCGACACACCCCTGCCCTGTCCTCAGCCAGGCACAGTGCACTCCCAGGAAATGTGCCCCCAGCTTCCGTCTGACTCTCAGCATTAAGCAGTGCTGGCTTTGGCTTCCTCGGGGTCCTGACCACCATGGATGGGCCTTTCCCAGGCCGGACACGGCTGCCGACAGATGGACCCCGGATGAGGCCTCTCCTGCCTCGCGTCCCCACGGGCAGGGCCAGCCCCCGCGGGCCCGTTACCTTGGACTGTCCGCGGGGCTTGAGGCAGGGGCTGTGGCAGAGGCGGTGGCAGTGTGGGCAGCGGCCGTGGCCGGGGGCGGCGAGGCTGTGCTGGGAGAGGCAGCGGCAGGCGGCTGGGCAGAAGCAGGCGGCAGCGGGGTGGCGGCCTGGCTGGTGCACACTGGAGCATGCTCAATAGGCGTGCTGATGAGGCGGGACCAAGAAAGACAACAGGTCACGGGGGCCCCTGGGCACGGGGATGGTGGCTGCACCAGATGCGGACTGGGTGGAAGGCACCATCCTTATTGCAGACAGAGCAGGATCTTCCAGAAGGCATGTCCCCAGGCTCAGGGAAGGGGCCCCCAGGATCCGGGAGACAAGGGCTCAGACTACAGGGAGAATACCACGGTAATATCAAAAATGCCCTCAAGTCTGGAGAGCACCGCGCCCCCAGCCATTTCTGTGTACTTCCTAACTGTTCTTTCTCAGAGTGTATTATGCAAACACAACGTGGGGGAAAAGTAGATGGGACTATCAGTCAAGGTTCCTTTCCATCCAGCCTTCCTTCTTCCTTTCTCTTCCCTACCTCGTCAGAGGCATGCATTGCCTTTGCAAAGGATGACACAAAGACAAAAGCAGAGGTAAGATGTTTGACTATCGAGGGCTCAGGCTGTTGTTGTGAGAGCCCGGACTGTAGGCTGTGAAGGACTCAGGGTGTTGATAACACATTTGGAAGATGGACGAACGCAACCATGCCTGGTAGGTCAAGGTTGTCTGGACCAGAAAGGGGGCAACGTGGCATGGAGGATTTGAGAATAGAGGTGGCTATGCCCCTTTTCTGGGTAAACCCTGAGGAAGGCAGGACCCCAGGGTCCCCTTTGCCCATGGTGAAGTAGCAGGCAGACCCGAGACAGCGCATCATGTGGCCTGGGGGCTGTAGAAGGTTTCCCACACACCCAAGAGGGACACGGACATGGCCCTGAGTGACTGCTCTGCCAGTGTGGACCAGCGTGACTGGACGGGATGGGGACAACCCAGCAGATGCCAGCACCAGTAGACCATGACCAAGGACCAGGTGCCCCGCCACCCTGCCCTGCCCGCCATGGCATTCTGTAAGCCTGTCTTCCCCCAAACCACTCCAGGCAAGAGAGGAGCATCAGGGCCTAGTTGATGGGATTCGATTTCTGCCACCTGTGAAATGGAGCAGAGGCTAAAAATTAAATTATAGGAAAGCAAAGAAACGCACGTTTTTTGCTCATTTGGGTCACTGGACTAAGCTCTGTACTTGCTACAACAGCAAGGACACTTAACACCTGCAGCGGGGGTGACTTCCCCACGCTACGGGATTCATCCACTGACCTTGTGCTGTGTGCCGGGAGGATGTCTTTACTTCCTCACGACAACCCCCTGATGTGGGTACTATCGACTCTATTTAATAGCTGAGGGAGTGGCGACCAAGAGTCCGATTGCTCAAGATCCTACAGCTTATCGGCCTGGATCTGATGAGGGGCATTTGGACTTGAAGGCTTACCCAGGACCTCGAGTGGCCCCTCATGGAGGAAGAAAGAAATGCCTGCCTGCAATCAGTCAAGTAGAGTCCTCCCCCAACAAAAGGCACTATTCGTCTTTGAAATAATTAGAATAATCATCTTCCCTCTGCGAGTGCTTACAGATGCGAGGGCTTGTGCTAAACAGCTGTAAGCATGACTCCGTTACTCCACTGATCCTTTCAACCTCGCTGGGCGACTTCATTATACAGATGAGGAACCTGAGGTCCAGAGAGGTTGAATCTCTGCTGGAACATCACAGTCCGCCAAGTGGCAGAGAAGGGGTGGTTCTGAATCACTACGGCAATTCTCAGAGTTTAATATGCGGGCGAATCGCCTGGGAATCTTGTTAAAACGCAGCTTC